TGGTCCCTGACATCTTGGCACTGTTAAATTTTGCTGACATGGCGTTAACACTGTTAACCGATGAGTTGGATATATAGGTGGCATATGACCTGGACATGAATCGATAAGTTGGCATGTAGGTGGCATATGACCTAGACATTGACCGGAAAAAAAGGGCTAATATAAATTTTGGTCCCTCAAATTTAGGACCGTTTTGGTATTGGTCCCTGAAATTTAAAACCGATGGTATTAGTCCCTGAAATTTAAAACCGATAGTATTGGTCCCTCAAATTATATCCGTATCTGGCTGTTGGTCCCTGATAGCTTTAGACCGTCAAATTTGTTTGAGTTGCGACTAACTTTTTAACCTATGATGTGGCATTTGACTTGGCAACTAAAGCTTGATGATATGGCATAAGTAATGGAAGGCTATGGTCGAAGAGACCCTACACAATCTGGGATTCACTTTTGTCAAAACACAAAGCTTCTACTCCGATATTAGTGTGGAGGAAACATAGTGCATTCTTAGCTAAACCTTCTACCCCCTCCATTACCTTTGGCCAAAAAGGTGACTTAATAGTTCATGAGAAGAAGAAGTCGGTTTCAGATACAAAACCACCCCCATTGAAGCCATCTTCTTCTGATACAGATGATGATGAACCTCCTAAGAAAAAAGAGAAGCCCATCACCAAAGTAAGAAACTTGAGAAGAAGCAACAAGAACCTCACTGACAACTCCAACAAGAAGGCAAACATGACCAGCAAGCCACCAGAGCTGCCGAAACCAGGTAAGAGCAAAGCAGATAGTTTTACAGGAACAGATAAAAAGAGGAGAGTCTAAAGCTGTCAGGACCAACAGCCAGAAATAGATATAATTTTAGGGATCAATACCATCAGTTTTAAATTTTAGATACCAATACCAAAATAGTCCCAAATTTGAGGGACCAAAATTTATATTAACCCTTTTTTTTTTCGGTCCATGTCTAGGTCATATGCCACCTACATGTCAACTCATCGGTTCATGTCCAGGTCATATGCCACCTATATGTCCAGCTCATTGGTTAATGGTGTTAACGCCGTGTCAGTAAAATTTAATGGTGTCAAGATGCCAAGGACCAACGGTCTAAGAAAGGACATAATATGAGAGACCAATACCACACGTTTTAAATTTCAAGGACCAATATCAAATTGGACCCAAATTTGAGGGACCCAAATTTGTATTAACCCTTTAAAATATTACTGTATGTCTTAACAAATATTCATACTTTAAAATTATACAACATCCATAATTCATTAAAAATAAGATAATAAAAAAGATTGTAATTATAGTTTTGAAGTCCAAATGGTTTGGATCAGTCTCCAAGTAGTTGGAAAAATGACAAAACATCTAAAGAAAAAAAAACTATACCCTATAGCAAGCTATACCAATACATTTAATTGTATAACTAACTTATAGTTTAATATAATTTATAGTGTTCTATATATCACATTTAACTTAGTATAATTAATATTACACATCAGGGCAATTTGTAAAAGTTAAAAGGGGATTTGATCAAGCGAGTTGATGCTAGGTAGTGTTATTCGTTGTTTGAAATAGCCATAATATCAAATATAAAACTCAACCAAAAACAAAGTCAATTATTGATGACTTATAATGTTTAAGAATGTTGAAAAATAACAATAAGAAACACAAATCCAAATGATAAATAGTATAGCAGTCAATTATTGTATTAAGAGGATGTGCTCTAAGTGGCAATAAATTCATAAAATTAAATAAGTATGATATACACATCTAAAAGGCTAAAATAATGATATCCCAGATCTTCTAAAACAATGGAGATTTAAGATTATTTCACAATGAATATCTGTAACCTATGTGCTAGATGCTTTCCTATTTTCCTTTTGATATTAAAATTTAATATAATTTATTAATATTACATTATATATATTTTTCAGTTAAGGCTAAATGGATAGGGCTAGATACCTTACCCGCTGCCCTGCCTTGCGCATAATTAGCCCAGTCTGAAAATGTCCTTTTTTTAGGCCTAAGTTGAATATTTTTTTATAGGCTCGAGTAGATACCTGCCATCTCTCTCTATGATTAATAAGATTAAATAATTAGGTATAATAATATTTATATAATTATTTTGAAAAATTAGACCAAAAAATTAATAAAAATTAAGCAAATTTTAAAATAAATTCTGTTGAATAATTTATGCCTCCCTATATTGAATTCTTTACCCATTGCGTTTCTTTGTACATACGTGTTTTAGAGGTTTCTTAAGCCATAAGATGTATGTTTAAATTTCACAAAATTACTAAATAAATATGCCTAAAAATCGTAATGTTTTAAGAAATTTTAAAATTAAAAGTGTGTGAAACAATTATTATTTCAAATTCATTTTTAAAAATAACTTTTCCCCAATAAATTATCCATTCTCGCTTGCTGATCCATTGCCCTCCCTCACAGTTGCTTATGATAGTTTCAAAAGTACTTTTTAAACCTAGTGCCATGTCTAATCTCATGAAACCCAACTAATCTAAATTTTTTTAATTAAAAAGACAGGGTTAATATAATTTTTGGTTCCTCAAGTTTGCTTTTATTTTGATTTTACTCCCTCAAATTTCAAATAATAGGTTTTGATCTCTCAAATTTATTTTCATTCAAAATATTGGCCCATGTAGTGCAATAAAAACATGGATTATTTTGCCTTTTGAAAAACCAAAACCTATAGTTTGAAAGACCGAAACCAAAATGAGATTAAAAGGTATCTTAACCCAAAAAAAATATATGTGAGAGTTTAGTTGGGGGAAAAAATAGTCTTATATGATCACCATTTTAATGAGATTAAACGCATTAAAAACCCTCTTTTTAAAATTACATGAGAGCCTATAATTATACTCTTTCTTTTGAATTATCATCAATGAAATTCATTAACTACAAGAGATTGATTAATTGATTGGAGAATATCAAAACAGTAGAAGTGAGAACTATGACTGAAGAGGTACTCTTACAATTGCTGCATCTTGAGCCCTTTTAAGCTTCATAATCTAATCCAAAAATTACAAATGAGGAGCAAATAGAAGCCGCCAAATTGTGACCTTGGGATTGCTAGGGAATTGGTCGCCATACTTTTAGACCCAATTTTATGGCCTATTATCATGGTTCAGGTGTAACATTTAAAAACGTTTGTCGTTAGATTCTCATTTCTCAATAAGTTCTGCTGCGGTTTTATTTCAAAGCAGGAAGATATAAATTCAGAAAATTTCACTTGAAATATTTATTAACTAATGGTTGTGTCAGAAGTTAAATATTAATTTATTTAAAAGAATTAAGTGTTCCTGATATGTTTATATTCGTCGTTAATATTTCTCAACATTACGTCTACTCTACAAATTCAAAACATTTTATAACACTGAGAAAAATGAAGTTTCAATTTAACGAACAAGGGTAATAAATAACAAATAATTATTGTAATTCTTCAAATAATGTTAATTATAGAAAAATTTTAAATTCTCATCATTATCTCATGCGAGTTTGAAAGTAAGTTTACTAAACTACTATAATCTATATTATCTATATATAAAAGTAGAATCACACGCTTACCTTGCTAAATGACCTGTCCATTTTGGTGAATACCGAAGAAACGAAGTGCCGGCTTTTTATGCATCTAACTTTTTTTTTTTTTTTTTGCTAAAGCATAGGTATCTTACAATTAGAAGCAATCATATTCGAGATATTGTCAGATACTAAATATGGACACATCTCTTAGTGGGAATTCAAATCTTGGTTCCTCACGTTGTGAGAGATTAACCTCTTCTGCTAGACTCAATCCTATTAGTTATGCATCTAACTGTAAAGTGGCCATGGTTTACACATTCCTGCTGGGTTTTTGGGCCTGTGTAAGAGGAAACCCCCCACTTGATGCCTTTTCTGGACTGGGCCTTCTAACTTGGGCCCTGTTCCAGAATTACTGGCTGGTCCAGGTTTGAGGAGTGAGATTGTCTCACTTAATGAGTTCAAGGATTTTGATGAAAACTTTGCACTTTTGTCATTATGTCTGGAGGTCCTCAATCACCTTTCTACTAAAAGCATAGATTTGAATTTGTGTTCTCCTTATAGAGTGTAAGGCCACAATCATTGTTGTTCTTTGTCAATGCAACAAGACTTGATATTCCTTAATCGTCAAACCATGGCTTTGTATTTTGGTCTTAAAAAAAATTAAAAGGTAAGATAAATCCAAGTAGGAGCTAATTTGCATTGGAAGTTATGTGTCTGATATATACTAATTCTTTCACAACAGACATTTGTACCTATGTCTATAGAATATTATTTTTCTGATTATAGTTATGGTGTCGACATAGTTCAATCTTTTAAAATCATTTGGCTATTTTCTCTTGCATATTCTCAACTCATTTTTACAAACTTTGTACCTTTGTTAATGGGGGCTTTAAATTAACTGTTGTTGTTCTATCGATTCATCTCCACTTTATTAGTGTCATACTTGAAAATCCAAGAACCTCTTGCCTTCTAAATGCCCCAACACAATGAAGCAACCAGAGCTTCGTTCAACTTTTTATTGCCTAGCATTATTTCTTCAAACCACTTCCTAATGCCAGAAATTTGTGATCTATCGGTTCTCAAAGACAATGAACATTCAAACCTGCACCTACACGCTCAAGGGCAGAGCAGAATCAGATGCTCAATTTTCTGAGCTTACTCACCACAGATAGGACAAAGATCACAAAGGGCACAAATACAGTGTTGAAACTAGTTATCAAGTTGCTAAGGAGGAAGTGAAATGACTTTTAATTTAATTTGATTTGATTTGATTTGATTAGTTTAATGATTTTTTATCTTTGAAATGGTGATTTTACTTTTAGTCCCTAAAACAAAATCATTTCAGACACTAAAATTAAAATAAAGTGAAATTTCAAAAAGTAAAATATTATTAACCCTTTTCCAAACAGGCACTTGGTTTAAGCGATAAGCCTATATGGCATATCAGTACCATGCTAGTTAAGAAATTGTGCTACAAAAGTGATTGCCCGAGGCTAGAGATATGACATATTCCCCCAGTCAGTATGGCCATTTAAAGCTAGAATAAAGCATAGAGATGGAACACCAGCACATGAAAGATTTCACTGCTACTGTGAGGCCGAGGCTGATGTTCCGGCTTCTACAGGTACGAAACCACCAGTAGGTCTTGATCCTGTTGGTGTTGACCCTAAGGGAGCAGACGAACCCGGCTGCATGGATTGCTGACATGGCTAGTTTACTGCCAGTGGCTGAGATGTAGCCATCCCAGGGTTGTATGGTGGTGGGTACTATTGATAAGCAGGTACAGGTGGCATATAACCGTATGGAGGAGGGGGACAATACTAATGATGGTGATATTGCCCAGATGGTGGAGGCATCATTGGATGGGCATAATGCTGCATTTACCGCTTCTCCAAATTGGGCTGCTTGTTCTCTTCGGTCCTAGTAGCCCCAACAGGAGGACCACCATCTTAAGATGGAATAACAACACCCATTCTCTGAGGATCCATTGATGGATAGTAGCTTCTATCTTGCCGAGGAGGAGGTGCAATGTTATAGTAATGCACTCTCTGGGTTTGATCATGGCTCTGCTGTTGCGATATGATAGCTCGAGGCAACAACCCACTGTGAGCCACAAATGCCTGTTGCCTTGCTTGATCAGAACTTTTAGAGTCTGGTTTTGCTGTCTGTGGTCTGCCACACATCAGCTTTAACCTTAGGCCCTTGATAACTAGCTTGTTGGAGAGCTCTTCTGCTACTTTTTCTGCACCCTCCCTGGTTGTGTAGGTTACAAATGCACAAGCCCGTTGGAGCACCATCTTGATGGATTCTATGTCACCATGGGCATAAAAGTGATCACGAAGATCCTGCTCACTGACCCTAGCATCAAGCACACCAACATAAAGAGTTCCAATGGTCTCATCCTCTGGAGGCTCCAGAGAGGTCATCTCTCCTGCCTTGCCAAGTAACTTTAATGCCATAGGATCGTTCACCCTACAAGATTAAAATACACAACAAACAGAATTTCCCATGAGAGAAAAAACACAATAAAAAATTTTAAGTAACAAATGATGTCAACGTTGATGTAACAAAAATATTCAGTTAAAAGAAAATTAACAGAAAATCAGAAAACAAAAGGAAAGTAATGTGAGATCAAGGGTAATTACTGTACGTAGTGTCCAAAAGGAAATAGAAAATATAAGAAATTATCCATGCCTCAAGTTAATCTGATTTATTGATTGTTACTCTTACTGCAGGCAGAATGTACAAGCTAAGAACCATGCAACAAGCCAAATTTAAGTGAATCATATCCAGCAAGTAGTCTAGATTAAATAAAGAACATGAACCCTGGCCGAATGCTATAGAAAACAAAAAAATTAACCAGCTTGCAAATATAGATGGTTATATTCCAGTAATGAAAATATTTCCCTCAACTAGGATCCTAAAATGCTAATCTATATATAAAATATATAATATAATTTTATTGGAAACTACACTATATACTTGTTATGGATAGTGAGGCCCACCTCAAGCTCCAAACAAGCGCACAGTCTAGGTCCCATTAATGTTGAAATGAAAAAAGGAAGCCAATGCAGAAAAGCTCTAATGATATACGGCTCTTCCAAGCATAACTATATCAAGACACGGCAAGAAAAACAAACAGCAAACTTGTCATCATGGTTCTACAGCAAGTATCTCACAGAATGACAATGGATCAGCTAACACGATTGTCTTAGACACAACAATGACCACTTTCTCACAGAGTCCCATGCATAGAAAGCTTGAGTTATAAAAACAATTATGGACAGAATGGGAGCAGAAATAGGAGAGAGAGAGCAATCAGATATAAAAATATACAACCAAAGTAGGAAGTCACTTGCAACTACACATACCCATAATAACGATCTTTGATACTTTGTTGTGACAACTCCCCAGTTACTGGCATCTCATGCCTATAAGGGCATTCAGCTCCTCTGGTACACTCACCCCTTATGAAGAAACTGCAAATATGAGCCCGGTTTCTTTTGTAGTATGGTGTTGTCCTTTGAAGCTTCAAAATAGTATCATTTGGGTGTACTTCCCCATATGAGGATTCATAATCCAAGCCAGCTCGAGTCTAAACCACAATTCATTTGTTAGTCATAATTGATTTGATGATTGAGAAATTCTTGAAGTAAGGAATAAAAGGAATAAGATCAAATCCAACAGTCCAGCTTGTATAAAATCAGGTGAAACTGAGAAATATTGAGAAAGGAAAGCAGCAATGAATATATAAATCCAACAGAATTTAATTCTTCATATTAAACTAATAAAAATGACTAAAATTTGATGAGACATTATTATGACAGAAACAACAATCATTGTATTGACATATAATCATAGGAAGCACTAGGCTTTTGGAACTGTAGCTGGAACACAGCCACATAAACACAACTTCTAAGTAAACACATAGTTAAATTAAATCATCAAACTTCCAGATGTAAGACAAGGTTGAACCACAATTACATTAGCTATGACTTTTGATAGTTTGCTGTGTAACCTCTATGAGAAATTCTTACATGGAAGTGCCACCTCATGGAAACTCTGATCAATAAAAATACAACACCTGGGCTGATTTGAGTCCGAGCTATCAGCTTCTTTTTTGACACTGGCATCACGCTTTCCTGAACGGACGCGCTAGCAGAGAGGCGTGAAGCACCCCACGTACCCGCTCACCCTCCCTACCCCGGCTTTTATGCGTTGCCCTTTCCTCAATTCTTTCCATTTTTTTATTCCAAAATTCTTAATTGCTAATTAATATTAATTATTTAATAATTTTAATTGTTAGAAAATTTGAATATTTTATCATTAAATATTTTTATAATTTACTTGATAATATATCCACAAAATTATCTTTTATTTTAAACATTTAACTTTTATTAAATTAAATATAATTATTATTAAATTTAAACAAAATAAGTTTTATGCACATTTTTATTTTCAAGTTAATTTTTGGAAAAAGAACAATTTAATTAAAATTTTTTATTATTTACGTCCTTGAAAGAAAATAAATTTGCCAAAAATTTTGGATCAATTTAATTGTGATTCAAAGTTAATAATACACATTTTTTAAACAAATAATAAATTAAATTATATTACTAATTTTTGTGGAGACTGGAGTGCAACTATACTTTCATTGTTTTCATGAAAATTATTATGCTTTTTTTAAGGTGACTTTGAATTTCAATTTTAATATATTTATGGGGACTAAGAAAAATTTTAAATCTTATTTATTTTGTTTTATCATTTAGCAAATTTTTTTTCTATATCCTTCTAATCTTACCAGATGTCCCCAAAGGAACGTAAATAAATTGAAAAATCTCACAAAATAAATTTAAAAATTATTAAATTCTAAATTAGAATTATTTCTTATAATTTAGTAAGTTTTGATTACACTCAACTTGCAAATAACAACATATTTTGTATGCATTTTCTTATTTGAGATTGAATAATTTTCATATTCTTTTTAAATAATTATATTTAATTTAATAAAATTTAAATGTTTAAAATAAAAAGATAATTTTGTGTATATATTATCAAGTAAATTATAAAAATATTTAATGATAAACTATTCAAATTTTCTAACAATTAATATTAAATAATTAGCAATTAAGAATCTTGGAATAAAAAAATTTGGAAAGGAGTGGGAGTGTAGGCCTTAAAATTTAAAACCCAATTTTCACCGAAAATAAAGTGAAGTTAAAAATGTTAGAGGAGTGAGGGTGAAGGGGTGTGGGAGTGCCTGAATATCAAAGGCCTGCGCGTAGGTTCCAGGGAGTGGGATGCTAGTTTAAAAAAAAAAGGGTGACAGCTGGGATGAAAATCAGTTCCAAGTGTTGCATTTTTATTGGTCAGAGTTTATATGACATGGCACTCTCGGAGTATATAAGAATTTATCAACCTCTATAGGGGAATTCATTAGTTATTTGCAGCAGGGTAACTAAAGTTAACTCAAATCACTGTAATAGTACAAGGATAGAATAATCCTGTAAGCACTTTTTCTAGTAAATCAAATTGTATTAATCCTATATAAGGCTTCTACATAGAAAAGCAACGCACCTCTATTTTTTTAAAAATATGAACACGAATCATATATGGAAGATGGCTTTCTCCAATGGATTCTATAGTTTCCTATCTGTTGCATTTTAGGCAACATCCTACAACAATGCCTAGCCTTATTAATCCACTTCTGTCCTCCCCCTGCAGCACTTCCTAATAAGTCATCCACATGATTTATAGACCAGAAATAAGTTAAGCCATCTCCTTGGCCTCTTCCTTTTCTTTATACGTTCAAGCAGATGATATAATTAACTGAGCTACACAATGCCGCAAATTTATAAATGTTCATGACTAGCATGCATCGATTTTACTAAAGATGGTCTGTCACTGTAATAAATTGTATAAAATGAGACAACTCAAATAAAAGTGATTCAAGCAATGAAAAGCAAAAATAGTCCATGAGTGAGGCTTGTCAAAATAGTAGAAGTAGAAACCAATCATAAGTCAAGCTATCTGCGCATTGCAAAGGCTTCATTTTAAACCCTCATAGCCCCCCCCCCCCAAAAGGAAGAAAAAGATATTCTATAAAAAATGAAACTCTAAAAATGAAAATAGGATGAAACAATTTCCATCTTGTAGAATACCAGTGCAACATTCTTTAAAATTATGGGCAAGTATCATCAAGTATACGATATGGTAGTAAAATAATCATACCTTGCGATCGTGCTCTTCAGCAAAATACTCCCGATTAACATCACTCTTGGAATAGCATCATGGGAACTGATACTGAGAGCCGTATCTCGGACTTGTACTAGTAACCCATACTCAAGATCTAGAAGGCAGACTTGAAAAACGTTTTTCAATTCATTACATGTTTGACAGATTTCAGTTTTCTTATATCTTGCATCTCGACCAGGTCTCCATCTAAAAACAGTGAATGGCCGTGTACAAATTTTATACTCCTTATCATGGTCAGCTCTCGTCTGCATCCATGTATACCCATAAAAAGAGCAATTAAATATGTTAGCTAAACAAATTTATCACGTTCTCCCTCTCTCTCTTTAGTCCTTTTGTATGCTCCATCATCCTACCATAATTATTTAACTTTTCCTCCTTAATGTAAGAGTAATAAAACTAAATAAATTACTTAATTCTAACAAATATGATATGATTTTCTTAAAATATCATTTTACAAATTAGATAAATTAGCTAGTTTGAAAAAAAAAACATAAATATGAGAAATAAAATAGATTAAGATTTTACATTTACTCTCAAAACCAACTCTCTAATTAGCTCTTACATTTATAAGGACAGGAATCTGAACAAAAAATGAAAGCAATTCATAAACTTAGATTGAGCTGTGATATATTTAGATTAAGAAAAAAGATTACAAACCAATATAATTTTATTGAACTCATGGTTTTGGTACCCGAATGAGAGCACATTGTATTATAGAGGTGGGGAATAAGATTTAGTTTGGAGGATGGCAGACACAATAACATTCGCCTCGCCTGTTACATACTGGCACAGAACAAGGTCCTTGACAGTGTAAATCCTTCCACAATCATAGTCACTTGAGCACTTTTTCATTAAATTTTGTGTGTTTATTATAATCAGCACATTTGCATTTTCCTGCAACACACCAGGGTTCTCTTCTGCATTCAACCTTCCCAACACAATCAACAATTCTAGTGCATTGAGCATCTTCTTGCCCAGTTGAAATGCCTGCATGGTCATTTTACACAAAATTAGAGAGAAGACATAAATTATGGACATGTTTAGAGTGATTTATAAACAATTATTTATTTATAATTTACAAAATATGAGATAAATATATGAGAAGAATTTTATCTCAGTTTATGTAAAAGTACTTATAAACACTTAGACATCGTAAATCCAAAAAAGTGAATGGAGGGAATAGATTTTAATGTTCTATTTGTTATAAAGCAAAGGGAGGCGAGAGAAATGAAAATTTTAATGAGTTTGATTAAAAAAAAAGAATTGGAGAAGTGGGTTGAAAGTTTTCAATTAATTTTTCTTACTCTTTTATTGCACATATTCTTTTTATTAAAATTTTATAATCCCCATTCTCCGTTTTTTTTAATTAAAATCGAACTAATTAACATTTTTGTTATGCTCCCCTTCGTTTCTTTTTCCCTCCTTGTTTCTCTTGTACCAAAGAGACCAAGGGTAATTTTAAAATGTTACGACAACTTTTTGAAAATGAAAAGCATTAAGCATTAACTAATTCTATAAGTTTTTCTTTAATATATGTGATTCAGTAAAAATGGCAATAGATAGAATATTTCGTCCGATCAGATGTAACATTTCCATTTAGAACTAAGGATAGGGTTAACACTTATTAATATTGTTTAAAAATTAACAAAGTTTCTGACTTTACTTTTATTAAACTTGTCCTTTAAATACACAATTTAGAAAGCATAAGTCATTATTGAATAAAGATAAGATGAGAAAATTGTAACAAGCATCTTATACGGCGGCCTACAGAAGGAAAAAACAATCCTTCTTCTTCAACTGCCTCATATATAAAAAAATTTCTCATATCTTAAAGTATTTTGTAGTGCATCCACCGTCCTAAAATATTTTTTGAAGTGGTACATCTAGCATCATAAAATAATATTTCAAGCTGTTGGATATACTACGAAATACTGGATGCACCTTAATCCAAAATTAAAATATTTGCAATTTCTATCCCGAGATTGCAAATATTTTTACCAAAATACCCTCAACTGTTGTGCGTCTTCCTCCGTCCCCCCCCCCCTTTATCGACTCCATCCCTCTCTCTGCCTTCTCCTCCATCCACCTACCCACCATCCTCCGTGGTCCTCCCATCACCGCCGTCGACCTGCGCACCCACTACCGCAGTTCTCTGTAAGCACAAAGATAAATGAAAAGTAAATAAGAGATAAAAAAGGGAAAGTAATTAATGAACTTACCTGCTTTTCCAGACTGCAAATTGCTTGACGATGCCTTTAACAAGAGATCGACTAGTCTCCTTGGCTTTCTGTTCAAATCAGATCGCTTTGAGAAGAAAAATTATTGGAGATCATAACAAAGATAGAGTTTAACAAAATGAGAGAAAACTTTAAAAGGATGAACCAAAACCGTAACGTACGTACCAGGAAAATAGAGCACTGATATAACATACACTACAAGAAAATGTAGAATTAGCAGCAGAACATTTCTAGCGGTTCAACAAAACCGCTAGAAATGCTAACATTACTAGCGGTTTTTAGAAAAACTGATGCAAATTACCGACGGTTTGACCATTGCCCGTACATTTCTAGCGGTTACCACCTAACCGCTAGAAATTTAGAGCTAGAAAATTTCCCGGGTTTTGGCGGGAACTTGGCGCCAAATTTGTAGCGTTTATTTTCTAGCGATTCAGGCCAATAAACCGCTAGACACTGAAAATTTCTAGCGGTTGATGCATGAACCGCTAGAAATATTTTTAATTGCCCGAGGAGTTTAGAAATTTCTAGCGGTTTGGTTCAAAACCGCTAGAAATTTCTAGCGGTTTTGGACCGAACCGCTAGAAATTCTGCCAATTCCCGAGGGACATGTGACCGTTGGGAATTTCTAGCGGTTCTGTCCAAAACCGCTAGAAATTTCTAGCGGTTTTGGACCGAACCGCTAGAAATTCTCGGTCTATATAAACCCCCACCCCCACTTTCACTTCTTCAATCGTTCTGGAAGCGAAGCTCTGCTGAATTTTCTCCACAAACATATTCGAGTTCTGATTCAGTTGCAGATCCTTATTTTCAGGTAAAAATAGTAATTTATTGATAAATAATTTTTATTTTATGTTTTATTTTATTTAATTTATTATGTTGTAGCTTATAAATAATTTTGCTTTTTATTTTATTTATAAATAATTACTATTTGTTGTTATTAGGATGACTCGTCGGCACGGGAAAGACCCAGTTAATCTTGAGAGAGCTGGACCCAGTGAGGTTCATCATGATGCTGGTGAGCCATTCCCCAACATTCATGACTCCGATCTCAGCGAGGAGGATATCCTCAGTTTTATGGAGCAGGATGATGTTGAGCGGACTGAGGAGGCTCATTTTACTAGGGATGAGCAACCCCATGCTGATGCTGATGCTGCTGACGACGAGGAGGAGGAGGAGCAGGATCAGGGGAATGAGTATCCCCAGGCTGCGCAGCGTCTTGCTCCGAGACGTCAGGCTGGTTATGAGGTGGAATTTGTCGGTAAGTATTTATTTAACTTTTTAAAATTTTGATCAGTATTTAATTTATATAGAAATTGTATTAATTTATTGATATATAATTTATTTCTTAATTAAATTTTACAGACACTGAGGGGAACAGGTCCTATCGGAGGCTGACAGCCAGAGAGCTGTCTATGATGACGAGTGGATGAGTGGTTGTGCCGCTCAATGAGTTGGGCCAACCGATGAAGAAAGGTGGCCAGTTGTACAACAAGTACGTGCGCCTCCTTGGTCAGCAGTGGACGCTGTTCCCTATCTACGTGCAGGACTGGAAGAAAATCACCTCAGACAAGAAGCAGCAAGGCTGGGAAATGATGAAGGTAATATAAAATTGTTATTTATAATTTTTTTTAATTTAAATAAATGATTATATATTTTGTTTTCAAATAATTTAATTGTTTGATTATAATTTTTTATTTATTTAATTTGTTTGTTATTTATAATATTTTTAAAAGTAGTTAAATGAATATATATATTTTTTATTTAAATTATTTAAAAGTAGTTAAATGAAAAAAATTTGTTATTGATTTCATTAATTTATTACTTATAATAATTTTAAATTTAGTTGAGTAAAAATATTTTTTCATTTAAATTACTTAATTGTTTAATTATTATTTGTTTTTGATTAATTTATATTTTATTTATAATATTTTTAAATTAGTTAAAAACTAATTATTTGTTTTTGATTATTGAAATTGCTTAATTATTTGTTTATAATTTGTTATTTAGTTAATTTATTATTTTAATCATAGAGTAAATTTATTCTGGGGGAGGAGTTGAGGGCTGACACGATCAAGAGGCTTGGAATGGCATGGAAGAATAGGAGGGCCGACCTGTGGAGGGAGAAGAAAGGTGACGGGACGAGGCCCCTCCAGGAGATACTGGCAGATGTACCTGGTGGAGTCCCGAACCAAGACTGGTCCAGTTACGTCTATTTTAGGATGACGGCTGACCAGATGGTATGATAATATTGTATTAATTATAATTTCTTTATTTTTTATCCGACTTGACTCATTTAATTTAATTTTTTACATTTTGCTTTAGGCTTTTCTAGGAGAAATGCTGGGAGCGTCAGGCATCAGACGATACGTCATAGGACTGGATCCAGGAGCTTTGCGATCACTTATGACGAGATTGTGAGTACTTGAAATAAATTTATTAAATATGTATATGTATTTAATTTGTAACTAATTATTTCTTTGATTTCATTTACAGAGGGAAAAGATACGGCAGGAGCGGGGATACACGGCCACTTATGGCGAGATGTGGCCGATGGTGTATAGACCTTGAGACGGGCGTGTGTCGGATGAGGTTGAGGAGATAGCGGTAAGTAATAAATTAAATATTAATATAATATCACAGTGTAGATATCATTATATTATAATTAACTTCTTTATATTAATTTTGGTAGGCACGGATGACTCAGGTCGATTCCGAGTTGCGTGAGTCTCAGGGGTCTGCCTTGGATCCCACCGCCTCACTTTTAGCTGGTCGTGGCCGGCCGCAGCACCCTGGTCGAGTTAGCGGGCTTGGACTTGGACCTACACCGACTAGGTTGCCCCGCTCAAGTGGCGCTGGCCCTTCATATACTGCCGGGAGCTCTCATGCGAGTGCGAAGCGGCCGGGTTCCTCATCCTCAGAGGAATTGCGAGAGGAGCTCAGACAAGAGTTCGAGGCCAGGATGGAGGCCAGGATCGTGGAGCGTGATCGTCAACTGCAGGAGCGTGATCGTCAGCTGCAGGAGCGTGATCGTCAGCTCCAGACGCAGCTTGACCAGCTCTTGGCAGCTGCTACGGCTCTGCGTCATATGGTGGTCATTATAGCTCTAAACATCTCGGTTCCTGAGATCCCCGGCCTACACCTACCACCAGTCCCGCCCCTACCCCCCATCCGCCAGTCCAGTCCCAGCAGGTTGAGCGGCCTGCCTACCCTCAGCCGGAGGATCCAGCAGAGGATGATCACGATGATGCTGCTTCTGCCCCTCACCCATGATTTATCTTGCTTTCATTGTATGGGATTTTATTAGAATTTTGATTTTACGGTTTTATATACTATTTAGATATTTATTTAAATTTTATATTTATTTGTTTACTTTATTTATTTATTTCTATAATTATATTTATGTCAAGTATTAATTAATATTGAAATATTTATTTATTTATTACAACATCAACATTACAATTTATTAAACACGTTAAACATGTTAATTAATCAAAATAATTCTATAATCATTTATTAATTTAATAAATATTTATTCTTGTAATGTTATTAATTTATTGTGCAGTATTTCTATTTAATATTTAAAAATAATATCAACTGAATTTTATTACATCGTGAAACTTTCTAGCGGTTTTATAAACCGCTAGAAACTTACCTCCTTTTCTAGCGGTTCATGAAAACCGCTAGAAAATTACGTAGTAATTTTCTAGCGGTTTTATAACTGCTAGAAATTTCAAAACCGTTGGAGACAAAATTCCCGTTAAACCGCTAGAAATTTCTATCGGTTTGTAACCGATATTTTGAATTTCTAGCGGTTAATAACCGCTGGAAAATGAAACTTTCCGTTAAAACCGCTACAAATTGTAACCGCTACAAAAAAATGACCGTTCCACCAGCCTCCTTTATAAGCTGAAGCACTCCAACTGAATTCTATTTTAACTTCTCTTTGAGCTTCCTGTGTCATATTTTCACGAAATTTGAGCATTATTAGTGATGGATAGGTCGTGGATCAACTTGTACCGGTCGACTCCGCAATACTTGGCTGGTCTAAACTATTTCTTGGATTTTGCTTTCGCCAATGCTGCCGTAAATGGTAAGATTCAGTGTCCCTGTCCTAAATGTAATTTCAAAAAGTGGCATCCCAAAGATATTGTTAGGGAATATTTAATCTTTAAGCCTTTTCCGCGAGAGTACGTATTTTGGCAACTACATGGGGAACGGCTAGATATGGGTGCTGAGTCAGTTCCAGTAGTTTCACGGATGGGAGTTCGAGTGGATGAAGCCGATGCCGTGAATGATGCTGTGCGTGATGCTTTTGGTGTTCACGAAAGCTCGAATCCCAATGAAGATGAAGTAGAGGGACCTCAACCGGAGTTTCTAAGAAACGAAACTGCTCGGGAATTTTTTGACCTCATGACCGAAGCTGACAAGCCTCTTTATTCTGGGTGCACAAAGTATTTGAAGTTGTCATTCTTGGTGAGGCTGTATCACATCAAATGCTTGTGCGGTATGACTGACAAGGCGATGTCCATGTTGCTGGAATTACTGGGAGATGCTTTCTCCCAAGCTGAATTCCCTCCATCTTTTTACGAAGCAAAAAAGATTATTAACAAGCTTGGCTTGAACTATAAGAAGATAGATGCATGCCCAAACGACTGTATGTTATACTGGGGAGATGATGCCAACAAAGAGATTTGTACGAGATGCAAGACATCACGCTATAAGTCGGTACGGAAGGGCAAGAAGCAAAAGAAGAAACCGGCCAAAATTCTCAGGTACAAATTATTACAGCGTGTTACTTGTTCCGTCTCTAAATATTCGATATTTGAAATTCTTAAAACAATTGATTATGTCATCAATTTTTTTAAATTGAGTCGATATTTAGTATTTAAATATTCGGTATTTTAAATTTTTAATATATTATTTTCTTAGATACTTTCCTTTGAAACCACGGTTGCAAAGAATGTATATGTCATCAAAAATGGCTCAGCATATGAGGTGGCACGCGACTGAGGAAAATCTAGATGGTAGGTTAAGGCACCCACGAGACTCGGAGGCATGGAAAGCATTTGATGCGAAATTTCCAGACTTTGCCAATGATCCTAGAAATGTACGTCTTGCATTGGCAACCGATGGTTTCAATCCCTTCGGAAACATGAGCACAAGTTACAGTATCTGGCCGGTGGTGTTAATTCC